CTCTCTCTCTCTCTCTCTCTCTCTCTCTCTCTCTCTCTCTCTCTCTCTCTCTCTCTCTCTCTCTCTCTCTCTCTCTCTCTCTCTCTCTCTCTCTCTCTCTCTCTCTTGCCCCCTCTTTCTCTCGCTGCCTATTCATCATTCAGTCATCGGCAAACGGGGCTCCTCTCGCGCTGATTGGTCGAGCCCGGCAGTACGCAGCCGATCATATTCTCGTCCGTCGATCGCCTAGCATCGCGAGCGCATGCGCAGTGGGCTTCGGTCGAGTGACACCCCCTCCCCGCCGTTCGTAGGCGAGTCTTGATGAAGAGAGAATGTGAAGTATCATTGTATCGCATTTCGAGTATCAGTGGTAGGCGGAGGAGAGGGAGCGAGGCACAGAGGAGTGGGAGAGGGAGCGAGTGAGACACGCTTTATCGAACCAACAAGCGGCGGTTCGAGTCAAGCAGAAGGAAAACACTCGACACGCTTTCTTGTTCACGGAGAGAGAGAAAGAGCAAGAGAGAGAGAGAGAGAGAGAGAGAGGGGAAGAAGGGGAGAGAGTGTTTGTGAGAGAGAGAGTGTGTTTGTGTGTGAGAGAGGGAAAGAGTCAAGTGTCGCAATAGTTTTGGAATAGTTCATCTGCTAGTAGCTCTGTAACCCCCACATGTACAGCAGTGACGTAGTCGACAATTTTTTAACCGCAAAAATAACAGAAAGCCAGCCGACGTCGCGGGAGGAAATGGTCTGTTATCGTCAGCGTACTCTGCGTCTTATAACAACATCGTCGTCGGCATCTGATACCGACATCATCGTCGGAACCTGATATCATAATCGTCGTCAGCATCCGATATCGTCATCGTCGTCGGCACCTGACAATACTATCATCATCGGTGCCTAATATCAGGATCGTCGTCGTCGTCGTCGTCGTCGTCGTCGTCATCGTCATCGTCGTCGTCGTCGTCGTCGTCGTCGTCATCGTCGTCGTCGCTCAAAGCTTATTGCACGTCGGCGAAGGGTGAGAGAAGACGACGTCGCCGACATGGCTATGAGCCCGAAACAGTCGACGTCGTTCTCTGTCAGCGACATCCTGAGTCCGGTCGCCGACGACGGATACAAGCGCGCGCCGCCGCCGACGTTCGACACAAGCTTTCAACACGCCACCGCGGCGCCATCGTCGCTCGTCGCCGGCTACAGTTGCGGCGTCGTCGGCACGCCGACGTCTTCGTGCGGCAACAACGTCGCCGCGTCGCCCTACCACGTGCACGTGCCGCAGCTCACGTCGTCGTCGACGTCGCCGCACGCGTCGGCCTTCCCGACGCACCAGTATTGCAGCGTCGCCGACGGCCTGTCGTCGGCGTACGGAGATGCGACGTCGGCGGGCGGGGTGCGCTACACGGGTAGCAGCTGGTACGGAGGCAGTACCGACCCACGCCTAAGCCAGAGTAAGTACCAGCTGCCCCCATGCACCACCCACCCACCACCCCACTCCCCGTACCATAGGATTATATATTTATTTTTGTCATAATGTGGATTATGTATTTTATTACTGTGATACTTCGGTTTATTCTATTTATTGCTATGATCTTACAGATTTTACACTTAATTTAAGATGAATCTATTCATCAGTATATGGCTAGGAATACTTTAGTGATAATTCATCACCGGCACATAACCTCATATTTATTCTTCATGTGTCTATATATAAATAAACCTCTTGAAGATAATACACATTCTATGGCGGACACGACGAGCACAACTGTATAGTGACGAATCGGCGGTTGTATCCAGTTTAGGTCAATCTATTGAACAGTAGACCTGATCTATA